TTTCGATTGCAAGGAACAATTGCACGAACTTAATCATTGTGGTGAGAATCTGAGATAAGATTACATCGCTCAACATCGGTTCTGTCCTATCGACCAAATTAATTGTTTTCAATTCCTAGGTGCTAGAGAAGTCCGAAAATCCCCATCTTAGATTCAGGAAAATTGTCTGTTACTTAGGACGCCAACATTTTGAATATCGTCATTTGAGGGCGCTTCTTTGTTTTATCCTCGTGTTTAGTTCACTTTCCCATTAAACATGAAATCCATCAAATTTCTGACACGAGCCAATTCCCCATTGTTCCATCCATTGTATTTGCTTATCAAATAAATTGAATTTACGGTTTCCATACCATACAAGCAACTATGGTGATACCACTTTTCGAGCTCCGGTGTATTGCGGAGTATCATCAGCATTTGAAGGCGCTTCTTCGTTTCCTGTCAATTTACATAATCAGCCCGCGGTTGGTTGTGTCTCTCGTGTCGTGTGGAGCAGACTCATCCGAAGCTGCCTACAGCCGTGCTAAGGAAGAACGCAGTATGAGCCTTCAGACGTTGCCACATTTCCTTTAAAAAAACCTTAATTTATTGGGAAAATCGACATTTTTTTGCTTCAATTTTTTCGGACGATTTTGTTCTCAATTTCGTCTAAAATTTCTGAAAATTTCATAATTGCTCTCAAAAATATATTTTTCATGCGGGGTAATTTGGCAACTCTCGAATGTTCATACGGCGTTCTTCCTTAGTACGGCAGCCTACAATCTCACGCCTGGATTTTGCTCGGTTAAGTGCCTCAACCGCCACATCGACGGACAATGGATCGAGTAAGTGTGAGAGGATGGACAAAATTTGGAAACTTTGAAAGCTCATAACACCGTTCATACAACACTTTGAGTTTCTAAAAGTGGTTCTATTGCTCTCCTCGAGACATTTTCTCCAAGAGGCAACCCTTAAAATTTAAAATGTGATGAAATAAACATCAAAATTTGCAGTTTCAGTCACACATTTCACGTCCGACCTCTGTGATTAGCTCGATCCACTGTGCGACTCTCGAAATAATTTTTCCATTAGGTTCCATTTCCCGTGAAAGTCGCGTCAATTTCCCGCGCTAAGTGATTTCAATTTGCACGCTGACGATTCAACGGCCTTGCAACTCGGAAAAATGGAATCCTTCGCCCGCCCACTAGGAGACCTTTGATCTATCCGCCATCCATCCGCAATATCACCAAGGGACACCGTAATTGCGGCCTTTCAAAGTGGAGCCTGATTTTGACTGCGTTTAGTAGAAAGGAACCGAGCCACATCAGCTATTGCTAAATTTAATTGAGCAATGGGCCTGTTGCAAACTTTTGCGAGGGCAAAAATAAGATATGTTTCCATAAGTGAATGCCGCAAAAATCACGATGAGCTCTTTGGCAGAGTTTGAAATGCACTCCTAACTTCAAAATCTGAGTACCTAAGAAAGTTGCGTTGTTTTGAGCGTCTCGCTTCAGAAACGAGATACTGCGGCACAGGTGAACATCTCGTTAGCGGTGTCGTTCTATCCAACCTCTGTGCACTAGGATACTACACGATATTCAACATGACCGACAAGATGTTTTTATAAAAAGGAAAGTCACTTACATCAAGTAGAAACCCGCTTTTGTTCACCTATTTTATTCTTGATTCAAAATAAAATCTTCTTGACGGCATACTCAAGAATGTTCCTTTATCTCTCTTATCTCGACTTATTTTGCAAGGAAAGTTCCGTACAGGGTTTAAAACAGGGATGTTGTTTGTCGCCAACATTATTTAAAATTTATCTCGAGTGCGTGCTAAAAGAATGGAAAAAGAAATGCTCTGGTATGGGTGTCCCCTTGGGTGATCTCGAAACTCTGTTTACTCTGTGCTTTGCTGATGACCAGGTGGTGGTTGCTCAAGATCAAGATGACGCGGAATACATGATGCGCAAGCTAGTAGAAGAGTATCGGAAGTGGGGTCTGGAAGTCAGCATATCCAAATCTGAGAAGATGACTTTTGGCGGTGATCAGCAAAGCATTGAGTTGGAGGATGGGCAGCAGATCAAAGGCTGCGAGCACTTTAAGTACTTGGGAGTGCGGTTGACCCAGGATGGAAGGACGGATCAAGCTATCAGGGAAAGGAACACCTTAGCAAGGAAGGCTATAGCGATGTTAAATGGAATCCTCTGGGATCAGCGGATTTCCAAAGATAACAAGAGGAGGATATACAACGCTGTAGTCAAAAGTATATTAACATACGGATGTGAAGTTTGGCAGCTGAAGAAACGGACACAGGATATGCTAAGAGCAACGGAGATGGATTTCTGGAGAAGGTCAGCAGGAATTTCTAGGAGAGATCGGGTCCGTAATGATAGAGTGCGTCAGATAATGGAAGTCGAAAATGACATCGTGTTCGACGTCATGACCAAACAACTTGTTTGGTATGGTCATGTCAATAGGATGACGGAAGAGAGGCTGCCAAAAAAGATGCTTGATTGGGTTCCTCCTGGGAGGAGACGTAGGGGACGCCCAGTGAGAGGTTGGCGACAGGGGGTGTTAAATGAGATAAGAGATTGTCAACTCCCTGATGACCTGTGGGAAGACCGAGCTTTGTGGCGATTAGGCGTCGCACAGCGCCAAAGAGCGCTATAAAAGCGACTCATATATATATATAGTTCCGTACTCTTAAAGATGCCTGTCATTCTTATCGTTGGTAAGTTGGAGTGCCTTCAATTTCGTATAATACTGTACAACACTTCTATTGTGATATAGTGAAGCGCCGTGGCACGTGGCACGCTGCGGCGCGGCCAGCCAGCCAGCACGGAACGCGCATTGGCTCCTACAAACCTAAGGGATACCTCAAGCATTGCGCAATGCGTGTAGTATCTGCTTAGGTTTGTAGGCGCCCGGTGCGCGTTTCGTGCTGGCAGCACGTCGCATCACTCCGCTTTATGCTAGGGACTATTATTTAAACTCGCGAAGTCAGCGTTTTTCAACTCATGATTTTTATATGTTTGCACACTCTGCATGGATTACGTTAATTTAAATTGATAAAAAAAATAAATACATACATGAAAGGAAAATTTAATGTGTGTTTTGTAAAAATTAAGGTGTTTCCTTGTCGTATTTAATGATTTCCAAAGCACATTAATTTTTTCTTTTATATTTTGTGCTTTTACTGTGCTGCACCGTGGTGTGAGCGCAACCAAACGCTCAAAATCGGACGTATTTGACTCAGAAAGATCGATGTAAAAATGGGCTATAACCGAAGTTTGCGTGCTTCTCGGTTTTTTCCCTCTTTTATTTATTTGTGCATAGTTTCTTTCGACACAATTACTGCTCATTGACTTTAATATCGATGTCATCGCTTGGAAAAGGTTTTACTAATATTTGCCACGTTTTAAAAATGTAAATGTTCTTAAAATAAAGTAACATTTTCATTAAAAAAAAGTATTTATAAGGTTTATTTTTCATCGAAAATATTAAAGATGGAAATAAAACCAAATATTCACCCATGACAATTTAAAAAGATTGATCAAAATAAGTAAATAACATTTCATTTAAAAAATGAGTTACCACAACAACTCTTTCGTCTCTCTCAATTTTCTCATCTCATTATTGTCGATATAATTTTACACACGGACTAAAATATGACACTTGGACCAAGTCACTGTTGCTTATTTCACGCGTGGACGTAAACTACTGGACAAAAACATATGCCCGATGGCGTTTCCGGCAGCCACCCAATAATGATTAATTAACCTTTTGTAGAAAACCTCTTGTGTTTATTTATTTTTACTCTTTTGATGTAATTTTCAATTCTGTTAAAACATTGTTGGATAGCAAATAAACGAAAAAAAAAAAAAAAAAANAAAAAAAAAAAAAAAAAAAAAAAAAAAAAAAAAAAAAAAAAAAAAAAAAAAAAAAAAAAACTAGACAAAACGGGTGTGCGGACAAAAATCGGTGACTGAATGCCCTGAAACCAGACAAGCTGTTTGGTCATAATTTCATGCGCGATGTTCTACTCGGCGTTCATGATCTCACGCACTCTTTCGTTCCTTACGTGATGCCTCCTCAAGATTCCGGCTGATCTTCGCCAAAGGTTTATCTCAGTTGCCTTAAGAATCTTTTTGGTACGATCTCTCATGGGCCACACTTCAATGCCGTAGGTCAGAATGCTTTTGATCATTGTGTTATAAATCAATCCCTTTTTCTTCTTTGGAGATACTTTGATCCCAAAGAATCCTTTTTAACATAGCAATAGTTTTCCTTCCCTGCAGGTTTCGATCTTTTATGGCTTGGTCCATCTTTCCATCTTGGATACTCGACTTTCAGCTATCGCCAGGAGAAAATATACGAATATTAAAACTCAAATCCATTCTTAACTCAATTTTTTTCGAAAATTAGGGTTGGTTCCTTTCTAATCAACTCTATCCATTATTGATCTAACAAAAGTTGCAACAGGCCCATTATAAGGATGAGGTCAAGATGAAAAAATGGTGCCGGGTCCACACCATTTTGTCGGGAAAACAAAGCCAAGAAGTTCCAAAAATTAAAATTAGAGTCAAAATTAAATTTTTTGAACTCCAATGCGTACCAATATGAAACTGGTGAGGTCTCAAAAGGCCCCAAACCGGTATAGGTCTCTCAGCGTGACTTCAACTTAATATTCCCATGCAAACTGCCTGAGCTGAACACTCTCCCCCCTCGTGTTTCATACTGATACGCATTAGAGTTCAAAACAATTTAATTTTGACTCTAATTTTAATTTTAGGAACTTCTTGGCTTTGTTTGGTGTGGGCCCAGCACCATTTCTCCACCTTGTTACATACAGTTCGGGTCACTTCTTAGTATTTTTTTTTTTTTTTTTTTNTTTTTTTTTTTTTTTTTTTTTTTTTTTTTTTTTTTTTTTTTTGATAAGGTCAAGTAAGTACTAATGCGGTCCATAGCTTGAGAAACATCGACTAATGTGTGTAACGGATGGATTCTTTTGATTTGTTCCAGAGTTGGGAGGCTGCCCGGCGGCGACGCTCTCGGTGAACGGGACGCGGGTGATCGCGCGGGAGAGTTACGCCATCGACTATAGCACCGTGACGGAGGTGAGGTTCACCGCGGAGCTGGGCCACCCCTCGGGCCTCACCTCCGACGTCCGGCTCTGCAAGATCAAGTGCGTCAAAGGACAGTGGGTCGGCCCCATCTGCCAAGGTAAGCATAACTCCCAGAATAACATTTTAACACTGCCGTGACAGCGAAGAGAGCAGTACTGCTGTGACAGCGAAGAGAGCAGTGCTGCTGTGACAGCGAAGAGAGCAGTACTGCTGTGACAGCGAAGAGAGCAGTACTGCTGTGACAGTGAAGAGAGCAGTACTGCTTTGTCGTGCCTACGTCGGGAAAAGTTAACAAAATGCTACCGCAAGCTCAAGAGGTGCCTTTAGCTTGTCTAAATTCTACCCGACATAAGCACGATAAAGCAGCGATATGACATAGCCGACTAATCTATGTCATCTATATCAACCCGCCAAACACACAATTTCAAGAATCGGCCTTAATCATAGTAACGTATTAATTAATCCTGACTGCATACGCAAAATATTGAAGGAATTTTGAATCCCTTCATGTTCATATCACATGAGCGTCGTGGCTGGCACAGCGCCCTGCTTAATTACTAAGGATTTCTTAATGCAACTATTCGTGCTTAACGACTGTCTAAATTGCATAAACGAAATATTGAAGGCGCTTTAAATTGCTTCTTAGATTTCCCATAGAGGAAGAGATATTACACTTTTACCGGTTCCAAAGATTATTTGCTCGAATGGACCAAGGAAATCAACGCACGACAGGAAACGAACGACGGAATGAAGGTGTAAAATCCGGGAGTGATTCGACCAAAGATTATACAAAAAATCTTGCGAATTGTACAATTTTTTTGCGTGTATATGCCATCCAAAACTCGAGATTGCAAAACTCTTCAGGGTTGCCATATAATTTAGAAAATGAAATTCCTTGACATTTCCGTGACATATTTTGGTGAAATTCCCTGACAATTGAAGATATGCCAGATGGTTAAAAATACGTAATTAGAAATAATTTCTCACTTTCTTCAATCATTGTCCGAAGGAAACACTTTTGTGTTACTATTTATGCACTGCAATAAGGTTTTTTAATCTATAGTTTTTTCCTTTCGAACTCCCGTCTCGGCATTGTTTCTCTTTCGCCTTATCACTATATTTTTTAATCTTATCTTTATTACTCCCTAGGCTTAAGTTAATACGGAAGGCTGCGGCCCAGCGTAGTCCTTAATATTTAATCTCTCATTTCTTTTTGACTGTTGTACATTTGTATTTGTTATGATGTATTTTGTCAATAAAGTAAATTATTAATTATTAATTAAGAAATAATTTTCAGGCTAAATTTTTCGTTCGGAACGTCAAACTTGTTCCAGAAAGCAAATAGAGATGACTTAACAATTTTTCCCTGATATTTTCGTCTTTTTCCCTGACATTTCCAGGTTTTCCCTGAATTTTACAAAATCCCCGACTGTTCCCGGTTTCCCCTGACTGTGGCAATCTTGGCTCTACCCCTGCAAAGAAACTTGAAGGTAAAGGGGTCACTTCTAGATTAACGCAGTCCAAAAAACCAACGAATTCAACCTTACGACCGCCCTCCAGCTGTAAAACATCAGCGCGGGCGATCAAATTTAATGACGTCAGCGCGGCAACATTAGCTTGAGCTCTTATTCTGCCGTGCTAAGGAAAAACGCCGTATGAACCTTCAGGCGTTGCCAAATTTCCTTTGATAAGTTACCAATTTCCTGGTAAATTTATGAATATTTTTCTTCCGATTCCTCAGTTAATTTTGTTCGCAATTTCGCAATTAAGGTGATTCGATGGACGCCATATTTTGTGTCAGAGCGGCATGCGATATACCGCATCAATCGGTTCCATTCTTTCAGCTACCCGTCATTTTTCTCCAATTTTGAGATCGCAATTCTGTTTTCGGGAGACTAAAGCACGCACTCACCAATTTTAACAAAGGAATTCAACGTAATGGAGGCGTGGTTTCTTCGGAGAGAAAATATCGCATTCGAGTGCAGTTTCGATATCAGTATCGAATGCGATGTTTCCTCTCGAAAAAAAAACACGCCTCCATTACGTTGAATTCCTTTGTTAAAATTGGTGAGTGCGTGCTTTAGTCTCCTGACAACAGAGTTGCGATCTCAAAATTGGAGAAAAATGACGGGCAGCTGAAAGAATGGAACCGATTGATGCGATATATCGCATGCCGCTCTGACACAAAATATGGCGTCCATCGAATCACCTTAAAGTCCCTGAAAATATCAAGGAAAAATATGTATGGCTTTCCTAAAAAAAAACCATCTTATCTAAGGAAATTTGGCAACGCTTGAATGTTCATACGGCGTTTTTCCTCAGTCCGGCAACATTGCACCGGGTCCACCCGATTTTTTCACCCACCGGTCACGGTCTTTCGAGTCTTGATTAAATCATCACCCGCATGAACCGCGAGTTGGGAGAACCGCGTAAGTGCAAAGTATTCAATATGGCAGTGACGTCTTTCTTCAACTGGACGTTCATTCGACCTTACCTATTCGGACCCTTTATGTCGCCATAAACTCCTCGATCATCGCGATAAGCCGCCTCTCCTCGGTAATAAAAAATATTTGTTTCGAGATAAAGCCGAAAAAACTCCGTCACGTACGAGGTCCAGAGGAGGTCTATTGTCCTCCGGTCTTGGCCTCTCACCTAAGGGTGGAAAAATGAGGAAAATGCGAACGCGAGAAATGACGCGGGGCCGAGGGTAGCGGATTCGGACAAAGGGGTTGTTTTCAGACAGCGTTGGCTGCCGGGCTCCGTCTTGAAGGGTACAATCCAGTATTTTATTTCTTTGACTCCGACTTGTGTTTGACTCGTCGAAAAGGTAAGAAGTCAAGCGTCACAATATCTATTTCTACATCAAAATTCCATGTAAAAAATCGTGAATCATCTCCTGGATAAAAGTATCTTGGATCTCGCGTTCAGCCTCTTGAACACAAGGCTCTGTCTAGGCTTGACAAGAAAAAAATAATTTTGACTCAATCGGATTTTTGCTTGCTTCGAAAGGAAATCAGCATAAAGTAAGATGCTCGACTCTCGATTCAAGCCAAACTCAGATTGAAACGAAAGGATTTTTTCTTGTTAAGTCTTTCGAGAGTCTGGACTCTGGATAAAAGAGGCTTGTTTTCTATTGTTTTGGGGTAAACCATTGGTATTGAACTGTTAGCCTCAAATAGTCATAAAACTCGTCATAACTAACTTGATTTAAACATATGAAGATCAAAAATATGTTTTGGTTTAGGGCTGGATAATCATTTAAAAGCTCCATGCAATTGAATCGGGACGTGCAAAAACAGCTTATGTCTATTTTTCCAGTCTTCAGCTTTTTTAAGTTGATTATACTTTTCGGAGTTGGAAGCAACCACAATAGTGGCGTTGCACTCGCCTCCGGGTTTCCTTAATCCCAAAAAGTCCTTACTTTAACCTAATTTTCTTCCTATTCAAGAGAAACTCCGATTGAATCAAAAGTATTTTTTCTCGTCAAGTCTTTTTAAAGTCTGAGCTTGGGATCAAAGCGGCTTTTTTTTTAGTGTTTAGAAGTAAACGATTGGTATTGAACTGTTAGCTACAAATGTGCATAGAACAGGTCGTACCTAACTTGATTTAAAAATACAAAAGATCAAAAATATGTATTAGCATATCGAGCTAAATGTGTATTTAAAAGCTCATTGGCTATCGTGGATTCAACCACTGCCCTGATATTAGCAAGATCTTTACTACCGAAAACTGAATGTGCAAGCTGATATTCGACATTTTTAGACAAAGTAACAGACAAACAACTAAGAGAAACTTAAGCAATCTCATGGGTAGAAGAGGGGTTACGATGGACAAAGGAAGTAAGCAAGTAACGAATATAGTACGCACTCATACTTACTAGACTAACTTATACTTCCTAACTGAGTCAACTTAACGCAATCAACCCACGAGGTACCCCATAGTTGGTTCATCAAATCCCCCCTTAATCTATAAGAACAGCTCATTTCCACCAATAGAATCGCACGATTTTCCCTTTTGGCTCGTTTGTCTACCCACACTTTCAGTAATCAGCAAGCTGGAATTGAACTTGAAATATGGCATTAAGTGCCAAATTTCAAATTCACGATAAGGTGTTCGATGTATCTGAGACAAAAGAATCACTCACGTGTTATCAATCAATCTCCTCAGGAAAATCTGGAGAATTGATTTCAGAAATATCTGCCGTTAAATTGTTCCTAGTTTTCGTAATATTCTCCAAGAAAAATGAACACCACGCAGGGTGGCATTAAACGCAAGAAAAAAATGAAAGATTGGAAAGTTCAGTGAAATATTTCATGAAATTCCACGAGTCTGTGAAACATTTCTTATTTTTCAGGGGCTAGAGTATGCAACCCGCACTCAAACACACACAAATTGAAGATAGTCACAATATTTACATTTTGCAAAACATAAAAAGGAACCAGTATTTTTCAATATCTTCCATGAATTTTTGAGATTTCATGAAATATTCCTCGTGAAGTTTCGATTTTTTCTTTTTCATGAGATTTTTCCACCCTGAACCCGTATTAATTTCTACAAGAGCCTGGCTCGGGCAAGTCAGAACCAGGCGGTTTGGCCAATCAGAGACGACTCGTACAGGTAGAGCGAGTGCCAGTGCCACTCGGCCCGCAATTTGTACAGCGGCTCTTAATTATCTCTTTACGTTCACTGGAAAAAAACACATTTGATCTAAGACTCTTGAAAAAATTGACAAGAAAAAATACTCTTGATTCAATCAGATTTTCGCTTAAATCAAAAGGAAATCCGCTCAAATTAAGAGGCTTGGTTCTTGATTTAAGCCTAAATCTGATTGAATCAAGAGAATTTTTTCTTGTCGATGTTTTTAAGAGTCTGGACTCTAGATCCAATGTGTTTTTTCCAGTGTTCGGCAGGGATCGTTACGAATAAAGACAGCATTCAATTTGATCAAACACAAAACATTGTATTAACGTCACACTAACATAAACAAAACCGTAGAAAGCCCTCGACGTGCTTGGCCTTTCGAATCACCAGTGGTAGGAGTATGACTAGCTCATAGGCGAAGCTCCCTAGTAAAAATGGGTGAGCTCGGAGTAGGAG